GGTTATCTAGGGATAATGGAACAGAAAATGGAAACGACTGTTTAGTGTTTAGGGTTTTAGGGGTTTCCCAAAATTAGGGGTACCATTTTGGGGGTCCCAATATTAAGGATTATAATATTTTGGGGTCTATATGGGGTCCCCCTATTTTGGGAAATTACCATATAGGGGCCTAAACAATTTGCAATATTGGTAGGGTTTAAGGTTTTGGGTTTAGGGTTTAGGGTTTAATATAGGAGCCTAAATATTCAGCAATATTGGTCGGGTTTAGTGTTTAGGGAATAATTGCCAATGTTATGGTTCCATATGCCTCGTATGATTTTGGTCTATGGTACCTCAAATGGACCTCAAAATGATATTGGTAATTCTTTAGGCTTTGTAGAGGCTGATGAGAAGGCAGGAAATGAGATCGATATGAGCTGTAATCTGAACTCCTTGAAGGGGGTTATACAGGGGATTATATAGGGGAGAAGTATAGGGCTTATTTAGGGGATACTAGGCTGAGAATACTAGGCTGAGACCACAGCTCATGTGTGTATATCTATGTATGTACATGTATACAGATGTGTGTATGTGTGTGTCTGTCTCTATACCACTTAGAAATAAGGATACATACGTCTAGGATTTTGGGATTTGGGGTAGCGATTATAGGGGTCAATTGTAGAGGCCTTTTGTCATTGTATCTGCCCTTCTTTATCAGGATTAGAAGCGAATATTGGCAATCACCCCAGCGTCTGAGGTACATGGTGGGGGAACCTTGGGTCACATTCATTCGGCTTGTGCAAAAAGAGCTACCATTTGTGGGGGTTCCCCAAGTATAACCCACAGAAGTTCCAGCATAGAACCAGGGGCCACGGGCTTACACTCGTGTTTGGAGGTCCATTGGGCTTGGGGGTCTTAGGGCTAAGGCTAAGGGTTGAGGCCACGGGTCCCCACACGTTGCCTCAGGAGACGACAAACAGGAAGTAGCTTTTAAGAATAGGGTTCAGGGGGCAGGGGTTTAGGGTTAAGGGGTTCCCCTGCACTACCTTTATTCTTCGGGGGTCTGTGTCATGAAATGTTTTGTTTGCACGGGTGCATATAGGTCAATTTGGTTCCAGGGTTTTACACTTCAGGGTTTGTCGGGTCTAGTGCTTCAGGGTTTGACGATCCGGGGCCGAGGCTGTGCGTCTTTGGATGCCGGGCATGCAAAGCTGTGTGGAGGAGTTCGTTCGGACGGACCACCTTCCCTTTTTACAGAGACCCGCAGACATCCTAATGATAAGTGTTTCCGCCTGACATTCAGTGGTACCACATTGGGTGCATTTTTGGGGTTTGGAGGGGAGTTGTCATGTAGGTTGGAGAGGATTATGAGGTGGTTTCGAGGCTGGGGGATGAGGTGCCAAGGCGAGCCTAGATAAGCCACATGGGAACCCGTATCCGAAGCCCTAAATGTCCAAGTACGCATGAAGTGTACTAATTACGTTTTACACACGAAGTCGTTTTCGGGAACCTATCTCGACGGAAAGTTTGCATCAGATGGGTGCTGAAGCTGTTCGGCTGACCCCTAAACTAGGCGCCGACAAAAAAAGAGGCTAAGCATTGGTTGGTTCTAGGGGGCTTTCAGTAGGATGTCCCTATCCAAACCCTTTCTTCTGTGCTAAACCCTAAACCCTAAACGCTAAGCCCAAAACCCTTTCTTGGACCCTCTTGTGACCCCCAAAAACAGCTTGCTTTCGCCACAGGCGATGCTGGCCCAACTCGGCCCAGCCGCTGAAGATCAGTGCAAGGAGCGCCTTTTTGAACTACTGGGTCCTTGTTGTTTCGTGTGCCGAACCCAATGGCCCTGTGCCAAAACCATTGTGCCCTGCGGAACGGCTCATTTGTAAGCTTACAAGCATCGCTGTTGAAGGGCATACATTTGATACAAATACCGGGGCACGCTGGATTTGAAACGATTTTTAGAGTATGGCCTCTACTGATATGACACCCTGA